TGCAACCACTGCAACCATTGCAAGCAATGCACCCACTGCGCCCAATGCACCCACTGCGCCCAATGCACCCATTGCAACCACTGCAACCATTGCAAGCAATGCACCCACTGCGCCCAATGCACCCACTGCGCCCAATGCACCCACTGCGCCCATTGCAACCACTGCAACCACTGCACCCACTGCGCCCAATGCACCCACTGCGCCCAATGCACCTACTGCAACCACTGCAACCATTGCAAGCAATGCACCCACTGCGCCCACTGCGCCCAATGCACCTACTGCAACCACTGCAACCATTGCAACCAATGCACCCACTGGAACCGTCACGGCTATTTTGGCAGGATTACGGTTGGAATCACTTCCGCATTTGAGAAACGAAAATCGTGTAGGGAAAACCCTTTCACCTAACAGCCAATCACAGTGCGTCTTCCGAGCACTGCGAGATTACCCGTGTGATCGATAGTGATGGGCGATTACCGATTACTTGGTATCGATACCACCCGATACCAGGCCCAAACAGGAAGTAGTCGATACTGCACGGTATCGAAAAAGTGTTTCGATTACTTTTAAAATTAGACATTCATTATAATCCTGCAGTTGTGTCATCATTTTCATGGTTATTTCTAATAACATTTATGTACTTTTTGGTATTTTGCTGCATTTATCAATTTAATCAAACTTCCTTTATACTTTATTTGACATTCTATCCTCGCCGACAGAATAAATTATGAAAAAAGGCGGGAAATAAAGTAATTTTTGTTTTTTTATGGATTAAAATGGTGGATCAAATCGTTACTGTTAAAAATATGTAACTTTTTGAAAATTGGAGGAAGTAATCGTTTGGGTAATCGATACCTCGATACTTTAACCAAAAAGTAATCGGTATCGTATCGAAACCGATACTAGTGGTATCGCCCACAATCTCGTACCCAGAGCCATCGTTGACTCTGGGTACGAGATTGTATCGCCCATCACTAGTGATCGAATGATGCTATCCCAGGAAGCTTTGCGCGTGTTGTTGGAAAACTAGGCACCAGTCTGTCAACGGTCAAAAAGCGCTCATCATGAGAACTTTCGTTTCAAAATGGTCTTTTTGTATAACAAAAATACCTACCTCCACAAACCTCCACAAGCTATAATCTCTGAGCTATAATATAGTTCCCATGAAGAATTTAAAATTAACTCAATCCCTCAATCAAAACGTTGGTATCGAAATTGAGGAGACCGGACTCAGGCCTGGGACACCTGGGGGCCCAACTTGCGGGCAGGGGGCTCTGGCATGCTGGAATTGCGAAATTTGTAAAATTAAGGATTTGTTCGGTGAATTATGGAATTTTCTGGGAAATTTAGGTCGAAAATTAGTGTTGCGAAAAATTTTGGGAACTTTTGTTTTCGGAAACATAACGCCGCTCCCCCCTCCCCACTCGCGACCGTTTTCCGGAAAAGAAAATGTTTTTGAGGGACCCCTGCTAGGGTATGGAGGCCCGAATTCTTTATGCCCAATCATACAAAGGTCAAATCTACTCTTTTGAATTTACAGTGTAGGCCAGTTCCGATTAATTACAATTCACTATAACATGAATTACGTGTATGAAATTACTTTAATTGTCATATGTGAAATGTATAATTTCATAATATGTGAAATATATGACTTGATTTTCATATATGAAAATTCACATATGAAATTACCAAAATTCACATATGAAATGGATTGCATACATGAAATTTCTTTTTTCATATGTAAATTGTATAACTTCATATATGACTTGATTTTCATATATGAAAATTCTTATACGAAATTAGCTACCAACTTTCACATGTGAAATGGATTTCATATATGAAATTTAGTTTTCCATATGTGAATGGTATAACTTCATATATGACTTGATTTTCATATATGAAAATTCTTATATGAAATTACCAACTTTCACATGTGAAATGGATTTCATATATGAAATTTCTTTTTTCATATGTGAATTGTATAACTTCATATATAACTTGATTTTCATATATTAAGATTCTTATATGAAATTACCAAATTTCACATGTGAAATGGATTTCATGTATAAAATTAATTTTTTCATATGTGAACTGTATAACTTCATATATGACTTGATTTTCATATATGAAAATTCTCATATGAAATTACCAAATTTCAGTGTGAAATGGATTTCATATATGAAATTTAGTTTTTCATATGTGAATTGTATAACTTCATATATGACTTGATTTTCATATATGAAAATTCTTATACGAAATTAGCTACCAACTTTCACATGTGAAATGGATTTCATATATGAAATTTAGTTTTTCATATGTGAATGGTATAACTTCATATATGACTTGATTTTCATATATGAAAATTCTTATATGAAATTACCAACTTTCACATGTGAAATGGATTTCATATATGAAATTTCTTTTTTCATATGTGAATTGTATAACTTCATATATAACTTGATTTTCATATATTAAGATTCTTATATGAAATTACCAAATTTCACATGTGAAATGGATTTCATGTATAAAATTAATTTTTTCATATGTGAACTGTATAACTTCATATATGACTTGATTTTCATATATGAAAATTCTCATATGAAATTACCAAATTTCAGTGTGAAATGGATTTCATATATGAAATTTAGTTTTTCATATGTGAATTGTATAACTTCATATATGACTTGATTTTCATATATGGAAATTCTTATATGAAATTAGCTACCAACTTTCACATGTGAAATGGATTTCATATATGAAATTTAGTTTTTCATATGTGAATGGTATAACTTCATATATGACTTGATTTTCATATATGAAAATTCTTATATGAAATTACCAACTTTCACATGTGAAATGGATTTCATATATGAAATTTCTTTTTTCATATGTGAATTGTATAACTTCATATATAACTTGATTTTCATATATTAAGATTCTTATATGAAATTACCAAATTTCACATGTGAAATGGATTTCATGTATAAAATTAATTTTTTCATATGTGAACTGTATAACTTCATATATGACTTGATTTTCATATATGAAAATTCTCATATGAAATTACCAAATTTCAGTGTGAAATGGATTTCATATATGAAATTTAGTTTTTCATATGTGAATTGTATAACTTCATATATGACTTGATTTTCATATATGGAAATTCTTATATGAAATTACCAAATTTCACATGTGAAATGGATTTCATATATGAAATTTAGTTTTTCATATATGAAATTAAAATTTCATGTATGACCTGCTTTTCATATATGTAAATTTAATATGTGAAAAAGAGAATTTCACATATGAAACTGAAATTTCATATATGAAATTACCTTTTCACATGTGAAGTTCTAATTTCATATATGAAAATCTTCATTTCATATATGAAAATCTTCATTTCATATATGAAATTCCAATTTCATATATGAATTTTAATGTGAAATTTTTGTAAGGGCGACAGACCCCATTTAACTAGGTTTTTCCTAGTAGGCAAAGAATTGTTGATGTAACGTATAGACTGAAGTTAAATATGTTCTTAGGAAGTTTTGAATGAACCGATGACCATAGGGAATTGAATGCCAACGTGGAGTTTTTCACGATGTTTGAGAAAAAAGAACCTTGTGACATTAGGTTATTTTGTAGTCGCTGTTCGTTTTTTTGTCTAAATGCCTTCAATACATCTTTTGTGTCTGAGCAAATGTCGTACTGAATGTTCCTATTGGTGCTTGTTATTGACCATAATTCACGTATGTTTTCATTTATCGATGACTTTAAAGCTGAGCGTGAGACAGTTTAGCACTGTATAAACTTCGTTGAAGGTAGAATGATATTTAAACCAAATTTGTTGTAAGGGAGATATAGACATTGCTTAGAGTTGCAGATATTGGCAGTTCGAGCCATTTTCGTATATATTTAGTAGCAATACCGTCCAAAGTCTCGCAAACCCATGTTTGAGATATATCAGTTATTGTGAAGTCCCATGAGATTTTCGAGAGCAAGTAGCGACTGTATAGCAGGATTTTATTTCGGGGGTGCAAATGTAATTCATCTATTTTAGATATGATATTATTAAACAAGTCACATATATATATACGATTGGTGTTTTTCATCTGACATGTTGAAATTAAAATAACGACCATGCAAGGTAGCGGAAAGATTCACCAGTTTCGGTACGGGGTACAAGTAGGTGGTTAATAAACAATTTAGGTTGATATTGAACAGATTTAGATGAGTGTTTTTTAATACCGAACGTAGAGCACTTGTCAACACGTATAATCATATTGGCCCATTGACACCATACCGAGAAGCGATTGAGTAGGATTTGATTTTCTTTTTCTTGGCTACTAATGACAGCGGCGGCGTCTGCAAACTGGAACCAATGAATTGGATTACACGGAACACCAGTTTTATTAAATTTCCATAAACCAAGCTGCAAGAATGATTCAGACTTGATGTGTTGTACGAAGGTATTAAAGGACATATTGAAAAGGAGTGGACTAAGGCAGTCACCTTGTAAAACGCCACGGCCGACGGTAATGAAAGGGGTACTGAATTTTTCAGTTATAATAGGTGTTTGGAAGTTAGTATAAAGACTCCGGATTAGTTCATTTATAGGATCGGGTATATGATGATATTGAAGAACTTTGTAAATAAGGTTGTGATGTAGTTCACCGAATGCATTCTTCAGATCGAGTAAAGTGATTACAAGTGACCTTTGTTTTATACGGGCTGTGTTGATTATGTGCGCCATATGGCCTGTATGTTCAACAGTTCCTGCAACGTTTGGGGTCAAACCTTTCTGGATGTCATGTTCTATGTAATTGTTTTCAGGTAGGAAAGCGAAAATTTTGTTGCGAAGACACGACGTAAAAACTTTGAGCGGGACAGATTCTAGAATTATTAATAATAATAATAATGGAAACTTTATTAAATGTTTTTCTTTACATACATATACAATCGTAAATCTCTCTCATAAAGGTAACTTACGGTTGGCTATTTGAATCACAATCATACTAAACTAAAATAACAGAACAAAGTGCATGCAATATATATATACAATGAGATAAGTCAAATTGTTAGTAAATCCGGATTTTCCCATTCCTTATTTCGGCAGCAAAAAATGTAATATGTAGTTCTAATAGCAATATATAGTAATCATTTTCCTAACGCAGTACATTTGGTGGTTTTTGTCAAGACCAATGCTTTCTAACATGTCTAAAAATGTATAACATTCTTCTGCAAAAATACCTAAAGAGCTGATGGAGAGATTTATAAATTTAACTTAGTTAAAATTTTTACCTAGCTGTCTCAATAATTCTCTATATTTATCCTTCTTCCGTTTTACGTTGTTTTTGAGGTTTGTCTCATAACCAGTGGTGAGTTCAACCACATATAAGGAACCATTTGAGCACGATAATAACAAATCTGGGCGATACGTATCACCAGTAAGTATTGAAGGGCTTTTGAATTCATTTAGATCGTAATAATAATAATAATAATAATAATAATGGAAACTTTAATAATTTTGTTATATACTATATATATATACAATTGTAAATCTCACTAATTTAAGGTAACTTACAATTGGCTATTTGAATCACAACTATATGAACTCATAAAAATGACAAGACAGAATACATGAAAATATGTAAATATACAAGACAATCAGATATTTCAAATAGTTAACAAGTCCGGACTTTCCCATTCCTTATTTCGACAGCAGAAAATATAGTATGTACTTCGAATGGCAATAGTCATCATTTTCCTAACACAGTACGTTTGGTAGTTTTTGTCCAGACCAACATTTCCTAACATTTCTAAGAATGTAGAGCATTCTTGCGCAAAAATACCTAGGGAGCTCATGGAAAGATTTATAAAGTTTACTTCGTCAAAAATTTCGTCTAGTTGTTTTACTAATTCTTTATATTTGGCTTTTTTCCGATTAACGTTGTTCTCGAGGTTTGTCTCATAGCCAACAGTGAGCTCGACCACATGCATAAAGAGAGCAATTTGATAACGATAGCAACAAATCCGGGCGATACGTATCACCAGTTATTATTGACGGACTTTTGAATCCAGGCACATCAGCGTAGAGGGCAGAACCGTTCACAGTTTGCAAGGTTTGGCAAGGAAGTTCAGGATTGAATTGTGCCTCCACGTAAATCGATCGAGATAACACTGACATCCAGCGACCACGTGCAATAATGATTCTGGGCCAAGACAAAAGGAGCATTCTGAACTTGAAGACAATCCCCATCTGCTAAGGTTCTTGCGTGTCGGAAGAGAGTTATTGATATAGCGTATGGTAAAGTTATAAATGTTTTTCGGAAGTTTTGATTGAGCAGTAGACCACACTTTGCTAAGATGCGACAAGGAGAACTTTGTTACACTAGAGAAAAAGGATCCCTGACAAGTTAATTGATTTTGGAGTTTATCTTCATGTTCAGACCGAAAGTCTTTAAGCACTTCTTTGGTTGAGTTATAAAAGTCGTATTGGATATTAGTATGAGTATTAGTAGATTTCCACAGTTCGTTGATTGATTGATTAGGAGAAAGTTTTAATAATAATAATAATAATAATAATAATAAACACTTTATTTAAACAGGGTGACTAGAGTTACACGAAGTAATTTTCATCTAGGCTAATATACTGTCTATTAATACTAAGACTATAAATACCAATATAAAGAGTTACTAAGTCTAAAAATATATACATAGGGTTAAAAATGATCGTAAATTGTTATAAACACAAGTCAGATATTATCCTTGAGTTTGGAAAAGGCCAAATTTAAGTAGTTTTTACGAAATGAGGAAAATGATGTTGAGCATCTCACCCTATCAGGTAATAGATTCCACTCATTAGCTGCCAAGAAGGCAAAAGTACGTTTACCAGCATTAGTGTTTACTTTTGGAAGCTTCAAGTTGTTATTTGTGGAGCCACGAGTATTTACATTATGTACTTTGCTAAAAGGTAAAATTTTGTAAACTAGTGATATAACTTGGCCGATAGATTATTTAACGCTTTATAAACTGTACTGGCACGAAAATATCGTATTCTCTCGTGAACTGGGAGCCATCCAAGTTCCAAAAATAAAGGCAGTGAAGGTGCCTTATGATCACGATCTAAAATCAGTCTGGCAGCTCTCTTTTGAAGCCGATGAAGTCTGTCCAAGTTTTGGGTAGATGTATTCCCCCAAATCACACAACAGTAATCCATCAAGGAGAGAATTAAACATCGGTAGAAGGCTTTACGAGCGTTTAGTGGCAGATGGTGACGTATTCGTCGTAATATTCCTAATCTTTGAGATATCTTTTTACACAACAGATCGATATGCACAGACCAGCTCAAAGTTTGATCAAACTGAATACCAAGTAATCTTCCATCAAGCACAGTTTCAATTTGGAAATCATTTATAGTGATGTTTAAATCCTGTGGGATCTCAGACACTTTCCTGGTTGATGCAATAAACATTGCCTTAGTTTTCTGTTCGTTGAGAACCATTTTATTCGTTTCGGTCCATTGTATAATTGGTAACATTTCGGTACTGAGTTGTTCTTGTACACTCTGGACTGAACAACCAGATACATACTGAGTAGAATCATCTGCAAACATATCTATTTGGGTGTCATTCAGATGTAAGGGAAGGTTATTCATATGGATAATAAATAACAAGGGCCCTAGAATTGACCCTTGCGGTACACCTGATTTAATGGATGCTTTAGAAGAAAGCTCATTTTCGATTTTCACTTGAAATTCTCTGTCTTTGAGGTAAGAAGTAAACCAAGACAATGCTTGATCATCCAAACCATACAAGTGCAATTTCTGGAGCAGTAATGAATGGTCAACAAGATCAAATGCTTTACGTAGATCTAACATTGTTAAGCCGGAAAACTTCCCTTGGTCCATGTTGTAAACACGAGTTTACTTATTTCGAATATCTCTAATCTATAGACTGCTTTTTCCCGACGAAATAAACCCAAAAACCACGCTGACACGCTCGACTGAATGTTTTGTCTAATACGTTACTATATACAAACTTACATGAAGTCTTAAACATAAAATAAACAATAAATTAATTAACACAAATTATAAAGCTATGAAAATGTCAAAACCGTTTCTACATTTCCCCTTCCCTGATTCTACTAGAATCCGAAGTCAACTGTCCCAAAGTTTGAATATGAATGTTCGTTAAACTACTAAAACGTTTATATTACTTATCTACAAATTCCAACCGAGAGATTCGAGATATTGATCTTCGATACGTACAATCTCCTACTTTTACATCTACAACTCTCACTAGTCCATCGCCACCGGGATGTACACCAACGATTCTCCCAACTTTCCAATTTCTTCTTGGAGAGTCTGGATCGACTACCAACACAATGTCTCCTTCCTTTAAGTTCTCTTCTCGATCAAACCATTTCTTACGTGATCCAATGCTCGTAATATACTCTCGCATCCACCTCTTCCATGTTTGACGTACCAATTCTTGGATTCTTCGCCACCGTTTTCGCGGATCAAAAGCTAACGTGTCGACATTTTCTGGAGCCAGTTCGCCACCCATATGTCCTATTAAAAAGTAGTTAGGGGTCAGTATTGGATCATCGTTCGGATCGTTGCTCGTCGCTGTTTAAAGGTCTTGAATTTAACAAACTTTCGACTCCCGTGAACACCGTCAATAATTCTTCTTTTTCACGTCAGCGTTTCCCAGAATTTCTTTTATGGCTCTTTTGGCGGATTCAATCATTCTTTCAAAGACACCCCCAAAATGAGGTGCTAATGGTGGATTCCAGTGCCAACGAATCCCGTTATTTGATGTCATACGCTGAATTATGTCTTGATCTAGATGCTGTACCAACTCTTGCAATTCATTGTTGCCTCCAACGAAATTTGTTCCGTTATCACTGAGCATGTCTCTTGGCCAACCCCGTCTGGCAACCATACGTGTTAAAGCTTTCAGAAATCCATCAGTTTCCAAAGACCATGCCATTTCCAAATGGACACAATGTGTTTGAAGGCATAGGAACAGGCAAAGGTATCTCTTGATTCGGGACTTTCCACGACCTTGTATGGTAAAGAAAGGACCAGCAAAGTCTACTGCGCAATTTGTAAATGGTTTCATTGTGAGTTCTAATCGAATACGTGGTAGAGGGGCCATTTGTTGTTGTAACGGTTTCCCGCGGAATCTTCTCTTGCACTCACTGCATTCTTTCATGATTCTTTTAACCGTCTCCCGTGCATGCACAACTGTATAGCTCTCGCGAAGATGATTCAGGGTATAATTTAGTCCCATTTGATGTCCTTCTTTCTCATGATGGTACTTGACGATCAGTTCTGTAACCGGATGTTTCTTTGGCAGGATAACGGGGTACTTCACTCGATTGGGTAAATGTTCTGCGTAACGTAATCTTGTGTTGGATCTTAACAGTCCGTCCATTAATATCGGTGTAAACGTAAGGATAGAGCTCTTTTTTGGTAGATTTCTGTTTTGCTTCAAAGCTTCGATCTCGTCAGGATAACTTTCGTGCTGTGCTTTTTGAATAATTATTTCTTCTGTGCTGCGTACCTCGTCTGCTGTGAGTTCTCCATGAGTGCGTTCTTCCCTTGATCTACGGCAGTTATTGATGAATCTGTGGACCCACGAACGTACTCGTACTAACGAAAGTCCAAATTTCAACTTGTTCTCATTGTTTACTCTGTACCACTTCGAATATCGTAAAGGATCCATACGCCATAATTGTTGTGCTTCTTGGGTCGTTGTATTGAAACTTAAGGACTGGTCATTTGTAGATACACTCTCTTGTTTTCGTGCTTCGACTTTCAACTCTTTACACTTTACTGAGTTAAGTTCTATTTCGATCTTTTCTTCAGGCCATGCATCTTTAGATTTCTTCAGAAATTCCGGGCCAAACCACCACTGCTGACTGTTTTTCATCTCGCTGACATTCATTCCTCGCGAACCATAATCTGCAGGATTTAACTCCGTTGGAACATGTTTCCATTGATCAGGACACGATTCGTCATGGATCTCTCCAACTCGATGTGCAACGAAGGGCTTATAATCTCGACTTCGTCCGTGTATCCAGTGGAGCACGTTCATGCTATCAACTCAAAAGGTTGCATCTTTCACAGGAATTTCTAAAGCTGTAGAGACTTGTTTGGTTAAGCGAACTCCAATCAAAGCCCCCATTAGTTCTAGTCGTGGTATACTTAAAGCTTTTAGTGGTGACAGTTTCGACAGAATCTACAGAAGGCATTACGTCATCCATATAACAGTGTTTTTCAACCGCGTTTGCTGCCAAGGGATACTCTTCTTTGTGATTTTGAGCGTGTTTCTGCCAGGTATATTGTGCACAAAAAGGACAGTAACATCCTCCGAAAACGAATCTCAGAAATTCATATACTTCTGGCTCTTTGGATAGATCTAAGTCCCTCCATAGAAATCGATGTAATGGTCGATCTTCTTCGCGCAAAACTAGTTGATGGTACATCTGACTTATATCACCAGCAAGTGCCACAGTTTCTTTTCTAAATTTGACTAAGATATCGAAAACATTACTTTGTAACTTAGGACCAGGTAACGCTTCGGTGTTGAGACTCTTGCCTTCATAAGGTGCTGAACCATCGAAAACTATTCTTACTTTGGTACTTGCTCTCTCAGGCCGTACTACGGGAAAATGGGGAAGAAGCCATTCCTGCTGAGGCTTTTCTTCATCTTTCGGTACTCGACGAATGTACTGTTTTTCAAGATATCCATTCAATACTTGTTGGTAGGCCAGGGCTACTTCTTTATTTTTCAACAGCTTTTTCTCCGTGGAGAACAATCTCTGCTTGGCCATTGGTAGATTGGTAGGAAGGTTAGGACGGTCTTCCTTCCAAGGCACCGCAACCTCGTAGTGCTTACCATCAAATTTCATTGACTGGCTCACCTTTCCCCATGCTAACTTCTCTTTGGGCGTCATTAGTGATTCTCTTGTGGGGGTTATTCCGACGCTTTCAAGGTCCCAAAAACGTTTGAGGGTGGAATTCAGGTCTGAGCATTCATTTGGAACATCATTTGTCGTTGCTTCCTCTACGTGGATGCGGAAAGTATGACTAAATCCAATGTGATGATGCCCAACATTACTTCGTTGCTCTATTTTACCTACCGCCGTCCATCCTAAAGGACAAAGTCTAACAACTGGATCGTCTTTATTGCCGACAATCTCTTTCATTGAATACATTAATTCATAGTGGTCTGCTCCCAAAAGGACATCGATCTGATTTCCTTTCGCTAACTGTGGGAATGGGATCTTTTTTAGGTGATTCCAATTTTGTTTTATGGTTAACCAGTTAACAGCTTTCATTCCCCCACAGATCTTTCCCGAGGTTTTTGCCACAATTTCTGTATCTACTCTTCCGTCCATGCTTTCCAGCCCAATCGTAAACGTGTTCGACATAAAACTAATTGTCTGGTCATTTGCTACCTTGACTTCGATTTTTTCTTTCACTCCGGTTAAACCTAGTTCTTCTATAACATCCTCGTTGATGTAAGTAGTGTCACTTCCTTCATCCAACAGACAGTTTACATGAACTTTACGTGTTCCATTTTTTAAAATAACTGGGATCGTGCGCAGTGCTATTTTCCTGGTATCATGATCTGTGCTGGTTTTCATTGTAGTAGCTTGTGTATTGCCATCCCCCTCCATGCCAAGAGCCTGTTCTTGAAGATTTTTCTTTTCTGGATTCATTTGTTTCATGGGAGGTTTTTCCGCAACATTGCTATCTTGATTAGGACCTTTGGTATCAACTCTTCTTTGCCCATGGAGTAAACGATGGTGGGTTTCCTTGCAACCATTAATATTACACTGTCGACTTCTTGTACACGAACTCCCCAAATGATCTTTCCCGAGGCATCTGTAACACAGCCCAACTCTTCTCGCAATTTTCCATTTCTCATCAATAGCTTGATTTCGGAAAGAGTCACATTTCCAAATTGGATGACTTCCTGCACAAGCAGAACATGGATCGTACTCTTTCTTATCGCTTTCTTTATTAAAGAATGACCTATATCTTCTCTCCTTTCTTCTTTCACCGTCCGAATTGATTCCATTTTTAATTTCAGATGCTTGCATTTGATATTCCGCTTCTTCAGCTACCCAATCTTTCAATTTTTCCAAGGAATCTTTGTAGTGGTTTTCTTTTACCCAACGGTAATACTGTGCAAGTAAACGCTCCGGAATTTCCCCCAATATTATTGTACGCAATGTTCCACTCTCCAAATCTGACTCGCGACCATTTTCTTTCAGAGTAATTACAGCTCGTTCCAAAATATCTGCAAATTTTTCCAATTCTTTTGGATTGTTCTCTTCGAGGGGTTTTAATTTCTTTAACTCATCCAAATGCGATTGTACTTGTCTCCGACTGCCACCGTATTTGCGAACCAGGCGTGCTTTTGCTGCTTCATACGCCTCTGTTGAATATCCCAATCCTTTTATAGTCTCTGCTGCTTCACCAGTAAGACAAGCTTCCAAACGTAGCATTTTGAATTGTGATGAAAGGGATGTTAAATCAACACAGCTTATAAATGCTGCATGTCATTTTTGAAAATCCATTTTGTTACCTGAAAATACTGGAATCCGAATTCTCTCCAATTGTGCTTGAGATGTAGTCGCCCCCGCCCCTCTGGTAGGTGTGTTACTGTTTGCTGGAAGTGATATCTGAGCTGTTCTCATTGTGGTTTCATTAACCTCGATTCTTTCTACTGTGTTTGACTGTTCGCTATTTTGTTGATTCTCATTGTCTTCATTATTCCCCTTCTCTAATACACCTAACTCTTGACGAGTTTTCTCTGCTTGCTCTTCGGCTGTTCGTAGTTGCCTTTCTTGTTCTTCTAACAATTCTCGTTTCTTTTGAACTTCTGCTTCGTTTCGCATACGTGCCCAAAGTTCCGCATTTTTTCTCCTTTCATCTTCATCTTACCTCTGTTTCGAAGTCTCGCCTACGTTCGACTCTTTGCTGCTTGTTACCGTCACTGCGCTTGAACTCCACTGTTTCTTTGCCAACGATGTTAAAAACATACGCGCTGAACTTGTTTCATATTCCACTTGATCGACCAGTGCATCCGCTTCGTCATTTACTTTTTTAGCATTTTCATATTCTTTGCTTCGCTGATAAATATCCTCGAGTTGATTCATAATATGCAATGTTTCGTCTTTCTGTTCGTCAATTCTTAATAACAATTCTTTAACGTCTTTTTGTTCAGTATTCGAGTCCGATAGCATGGCCGCCATGTATAACTAAGAGAAAATTTAGTTTAAACTAAATTTTCTCTTAGTTATAACACGATATTATATCCCGATTTTGTACACTTCCGGTGTACGAAGCGAAAATGAAACTACGAATTTTCGCTCTAAATTCGTCCAAAAACACTCTAAAATAACTTAAATCCGGCTCGTTAGGACCAAATGTAAACACGGGTTTGCTTATTTCGAATATCTCTAATCTATAGACTGCTTTTTCCCGACGAAATAAACCCAAAAACCACGCTGACACGCTCGACTGAATGTTTTGTCTAATACGTTACTATATACAAACTTACATGAAGTCTTAAACATAAAATAAACAATAAATTAATTAACACAAATTATAAAGCTATGAAAATGTCAAAACCGTTTAATTTCTACACATGTTGCGAAGCAGGAAGTCAGTTAGCTTTATTAATAGTGATTGGCATGAGTGGTTTTTGCGGAATCCTGATTGATTGTTGGAGATTAGCTGGTTAACTGTTAAATAAGAATATAATTTCTCACTGACATGTCTTTCAAGGACTTTTGATAAAAGAGGTAGAACTGAGATGGGACGATAATAGGATCTGTCCGTAAGATCTCCACCTTTAAATATGGGCGTGACCCTGGCACATTTCCAACGTAATGGCACTGAAGACATTGAAATACTTTAGTTAATTATTCTTGAATATGGGGTACTATCCAGATGATGTTGATACGCGGAAAAGTACTGGCACTAGTTGTCAAATAGAAATCCATTTTATGATTAAAACAACTGAATATCTCTTGTAATATACTTTATTTCGACTCCATATTTTTGTCAGAGCTATAGTTCTCACAACCAAACATAATTACAAAATTTCGACTAGTTTCATGAAGAATAACGAAAGATATAATTGACTGAATACATCAAAATGGATTTCTATTCGGACAACCCTTTCTGAGCGCTGATTGGTTAAAATACGAACACGAGATCACCTGGATAACTGGAGCAGCACAACCAAGAATTTTGGCTCCCAGATAATCAAGACCGACAGCTGCATTCGTCTCAAATTTAAGCAGTTGGCTCTTCACAAAGTCTACGTCAACCATTGCAATACTGAACTTAGTGTCACTTAAACATTTGGACTCGATAAATTTCTTTAGTTTATGAAAGCTTGTTTTAGGTATAGGTGTTTTAACCATAAATTCAGATGTAATATTAGCAAAATACCTACAGAAAGATTCAGCTATCCCATGTGAGTCCTTGATCTCGACACCATCCTCTTTTATTGATCTTGGAGAGGAGGACTTTTTATCACGTTTCAAGATGCCATTAATCGAGTTCCACATTTTCCCAGGGTGACCTTCGTTTTCTTCAATAGATGATCTGTAAAATTCCCGTTTGCTTCTATTTATTAGCCAGACTACTTCGTTACGCACTTTACGGTAAAGTCACCACTCCTCAGTGTTTCTGTTGACTTTACCAGAAACATTAATGGCTTCTTTAAGGAGCCGATCTCGTTTCTTCATTTTAGACAAGATTTCTGGTTTCATCCAAGGGGGCTGGCGCCATAATTTAACACGTTTCTCTTTCATAGGCGCATGATCATTGATAACGTCATTGAATAATCGCTCAAATGTATCTAAGGCTGCATCCGGATCAGTGTCAATAGCAGCCAACTTTTGCCAGGGAACGTTCTCAAGGTCCTTGATAAACTTAGCGCTATCAAACATCTTAAAACAACGATATTTAATAGTTAAATGAGACTTTTCTCTGCATAGTCCCCCATTAAACTTGCGAATAAAGCAAACAGGAAAGTGGTCTGATAACCCAATTTGCGGAACAGAAATACGCACGATATTGTCCTCTGTCGTACACCAAATATGATCAAGGCAGGTGTTACTAGCTGGTCTTGTTGTAACATTAACTAGTTGGGTCATGGACATAGCATGAAGTCCCTGAACTAGTTGATGATTCATAGCAGACGGATCATGAATGTTAATGTTCAAGTCACCAAGCGCATAAAATTCTTTGCCCTCAAAGTAACCTTGAGATAGGATATCTTCCAGCTTAGAATCAGTTGCCATATTGGTGTCAGGAGGGCGATATACTCCGGCCACAAGAATAGGTTTCATGTTAGAATGGTTGATTTCCAACCACAAAATTTCAAGATCATTACTTTCAAGATCAGTCCGTCGATGAAATGAGATCTCATGTCGAACATAGGCCACAATTCCTCCACCCCGTTTACTACTCCTATCCTTTCTTAATAACAAATAACCAGGAACTTCTAGTTCATTATCAGTGTAAGTATCATCCAACCATGTTTCAATAAGAAACAAAATGTCAGGAAGTCCATTCGTTTGCGTAAGTATAGTCCGGATGATTTCAACTTTATTTGCATAGTGTTGAACATTATACGCTGCGACCCGTAGACCTTTATCTTTAAGACCAAAACCAGTTAAAGGTTCATAATCTGAAGAAGTGTTGAATAATGGTTCATCAACTGCATCGTCGGTAGTAACAATAGCATTATCAGTTCTAAAAGCAAAAGGCACGAAATCCTCGAATAAACAGTCGTCAAAGTTAAACACACTGAATCCAATTGGTAATTGCGAATTATCGGTGCTAACAGACAAGTTCAAAGTATTTGCTGCTTGTAAACACATACCACACACAAAATCAGATTGCGAGAAATATTCCATTGGATTTAGATTGACACCAAGGCAGCTAAGGTGGATCAAGGAAAAACAAGTTGAACACTGGACGGTTTTGTGAATCCTTTTAATTGCTGAATCACACACAGGACAATGCGATTTTAGGCTCGATTTTGAACTAGATTTCCTCAACGCGGAGAAGTAGAAGTTACAGGTCCAGGATTAGGATGAACATTCCCAATAAGTAGAAGTCTTTCTAGCTGAAAGGAGGCATTATGGTTCTTAACATAAAGAATACGTGAGCGGAAAAATGTTCGCCTCGAGGTAGAATGTTTAATTAAAGGTAATCAATTTCGACAATTCGTATGCTGGATTGTAAACAAAACCATTTTCAACACTTTTAACTTGATCTTGATCAGTAGAAAATGTCCCGAACCATAACAAGGGCATAAGCATCAAGAATGACCAAGTTTTGGATCTTGAAACTTTTCGAAAATCATATAAAAGTATCCAAACTGGGAGAAGCAATTTGTATACATCATATATTGAAATTTTATATACATCATATATACATCATCATTTCATATATTGAAATTTTATATACATCATCATTTTATATACATCATATATTGAAATTTTACGATTTAGAATGCGTAATTAAGTTCGAATTCGGCGCCTGAACTCACGTGTTTTAATTACGGTTGATTTCACGAAACTTTGGCCGCGCCCGAATTGCGAGGTTGGTTGTGAATTTGGGAACTATAAACACGAGATCCGCATCAAGTTGATTGAGAACCGGCCAATCAAATTCGGAAGTTTCGCATCAAATTATCGAAATTCGTTATGAAATTCCGAACCAAGTTCGCAAGCAAGTTCGCAAATTGCAAACGATTTTGACGGTAAATTTTAAAAACTAAACTTATTGCATTAAACTTATTATAATTTTAAACCTAAAATTATTATTATTATGATATTATTTATTATTAAGTTTCGCATCAAATTATCGAAATTCGTTATGAAATTCCGAACCAAGTTCGCAAGCAAGTTCGCAAATTGCAAACGATTTTGACGGTAAATTTAAAAAACTAAACTTATTGTATTAAACTTATTCATTTAAAATGCGGAAGCGGATGCGGAACGGATGGGGTTAAAATGCGGAACGGAACGGATATGGGGTTAAAATGCGGAACGGAACGGATATGGGGTTAAAATGCGGAATGGAACGGATATGGGGTTAAAATGCGGAACGGAACGAAACGGATATGGGGTTAAAATGCGGAACGGAACGGATATGGGGTTAAAATGCGGAACGGAACGGAAAGGGGGTTAAAATTATACGCGGAACGGAACGGATATGGGGTTAAAACGTAACCTGAAGTTCAGGCCCTAATTTTAAATAGGGTCTGACACAAAACCTGCCTAAACTGTGGGATTCCCGTCCATCTGGTGGACGGGAAATCTGATTGGTTGATCAGCATCATGAAAGATTTTGATTGGTTGCAAGTTCATATAAACAATGGTTTTAAAAATAGCTCGATCAAGGCGACAATTAAGCCGGTTACAGACGAGCAAGTTTTCTATGACAAGTTTTTATGTGACAAGTTTTATTTGCCAAGTGCACGTGTGTATATGCAACAAGTTTCTCTATGACAAGTTTTCATATGACAAGTTTTATTTATGACAAGTTTTATTTATTTATGTTTTCATATGACAAGTTTTATTCGGTCTGCTTCACGTCAGTCCGGTTCTATCTATCTATTCATAATGTAACCAGTCACTGAAAAGCCCTATAGGGAGTGTGCTGTGAAATATCTGTATCTGTATCTGTATTTACTGGTGTGAATGTGTCAGAAAAAGGTGTTTATAGCATGCTAGCTTTTGAACAAGTGCACTTGTCATAGAAAAAATTGTTCGTCTGTATGGGTCAACAAGGAAAACTTGTCAAAGTAATCTGAGCACTTGATGTGATTAGCCAGTGGACTATTGTAATTTTTCTGTCATGGCAGCGATAAACACCTGTCGTCAACGTAAATTCAGCCAATCACAATTCTCGGCAGCTGGCTGCCGAGAGTGATCAATTTTACTAGGGCTTCCGGGCAGGCTCTTCTTCAATTATCTGCCCTATAAAAGAGCCGGCCACGCTGGCTATGTTTCAAATGGAAGTTTTTCTCACAACGCCATCTTGTGTTGAAAGTTTCAATGATTTTTTTGGTTTCTAATTGTGGTTTACTTCTAATGTTTATGCCTAAGCAACGTTCTGGTTATTCAAAGAATCGTAAATTTAGTGGAAATCGGTCACTGTAAACTCAAAAGTTTGAAAACGAGCGATGAAAATGTATCTGAATCAAGATCAGAAGACCAATTAGCCGCAACCACATGTATATCAGACATTTCAGCTTCGGCTGGAGAAACTGCATGGTTTACTTGATAAAGCAAGCGCTCTTTCAATCGATTGGTTATAGAATTATTGATGTTGATATTTTGGGGAATATCGTTATAAAATCCATGCCATGTAGGGTATGTTTGGAGTGCCAGTGAGAACTTGTTAAAGATAATACCAAGTGGATGGGTTGTGCTTCGTGTCTTTTTCTTAAATGTAGCTAGTGTGGACACTCTGGAGAGTTCTATACTTCAAAAAAACTTGGTCATTGTTTTGAAGTAAACAGGAGAATGATATATGGAATGAGGTGTATTGATTTTGACTTATCTGGGATGCAAAGATTCTGTTCAACAATGGACATGCCGAACCCTTAAACCTGAGGGCTTATAGTTACTGCACAAAGGCCGTCTTGCATGCTACCAAAGAAGTAGCTGAATCAACCATGAAACATGCTGTTGGCAAACTCCACAATTTGAAAAGTAATGTGGTGAGAATGGAGTTTTTAAAACTGCTATATCATGTGACGGTACCTGGCAAAGAAGGGGATTCTCTTCGTTACATGGTTGTGTTTCCGGTAATCTCCATGGAAACTGCTAAAATTTTAGATGTGGAGCCTCACAGTAAAGTGTGTCACAGCTGTATGAAGTTTGAGGCAAATATGACTTAGAGACTGAAGAATTGAAAGCAGAACATGCCTTAAAGTGTAAAACAAACTATAGTGGATCAGCACCAGCTATTGAGCCGGAAGGCGCAAACGTATATTTAAGCCTGACTCAGTAAGTTCACGTAAAACGTCAATGTGATGAACTGTTTGGTGATAGAGACAGCAAGAGCTTTAGTGCATGTAATTGAAAACATGCAGTTGACTCATTTTAAACTTTCCAGATGCCTATTTTAGCCTTTAAATTAGGTTTGTTTGTCGAGAACATATCTACAAATATTTTAAACTTAATTTTCTCAAATTGTCAACTCACGAGATGGCAAAAACTCTCCTGGGTTTGCTATTTATTCAATCAAGATGAAATTTTCAGCATTAACTCATTACTACTAAATCTGTGATGTGAACCTAAAAAATACCATGTGTGAGTTATACTCACCACAGGGTAACCCAATTACTGAACTCCGCACCCCTATATTTTCATTCATCTATAAAGAAGCGTAAAATTTATACACTTTATGCCTCTAGCTAAGTATTTTTTTAGGTTCACATCATAGATAGATCTATTTTGTATCAATTAAAGCTGTTTGGGAGATCATGGGTAGTTTACTTTGACTCCTATCATTTTTGGTGCAAACGCCATATTTGACCCTATAGGGGGTCCTATCTTGGTTATCATGGCAACAACAAATGTATAAGTGAGTGATTTTGAGTCAGCCACCCATATTCTATAATATTTGAGTGAAAAATGATGAAAAAGTATTAAATTAGGAAAAAAAGTTTTCAATGTATAAGACCACCTATTTGGGAAATCACGTTTCCGACAATGAGCTTTGAAGCAATTTTTGTTTGAAGAAATGAGAAGAATTGATTTACTGTGGGAAATCGTGAAAAATAGGGCAAATTTGCTTTGAAAGTTTTTAAATGTTTACGAATTTTGTTGCTTTAATTTATTGCGTAAAACATGTATCTGATATCAAGAAATTTTTAGGACCGTCGTTGCTTTGGGGGTCCCTTTTCCTTTTGAGCTGGGGGCCCGGGGTAAAGTGCCTCCCCCTCCCAGCGGGCCTGGCTTTGTCTTCGAAAGATTGTGTAAAAATGTCCTTTATGTGGAAACTATATAAAATAAATAAGCCCAGATTCGAGATTTCTTTGATTGCTGTTTATTATTTATTCATTACAAGTTTATACATCACTGATTAGAGATGATCTACACCGTTGAATTAAGTCAATATCAATCACATTTGTAAATTTAGAGTGTATATTATCAGTCCATCATGAGTTCGAGGTATGGTTTGGTACGAGGTTGCAGTATGTTCCTTATTAAGGGCATAAAGACTTTGGAGGTTTTAGGGTGGGCCAAACCCCAGGATGTATCATTTTCTGCAAAGCCAATTCGAAAATGTATTTTAGTTTGCTGAGTTTCTCAACTCGGAAAACGTATCGATGTGGTGGATAGGACGCCACTTTCGCCATTTCATCTATTCCATTAATGTAATTACCAACGGCAACAACAAAAATTTTCAAATTCCAAATTTGCTTTAGCTTTTTCGCACTGGCTATTGTTTTCTGCTTATTATTCGACTGACCATCTGTCACGAGAAAGACCATCTTTCTTGCGTCTTTCCGGTCTCGGAGTACTAATTGAAAGAAATAATACAACAAAATAAATAAATATAGCATAAAACTACAAAATAATAAAGGATATGAGTTTATCTCTAATCTGATTGGTTATATAGCTAAGTACTGAACAACTAATATAGTCGCCGAGGCGAAATTGTTTGTATACATGTAGCAGCTTATATATATCCACTAGCCAGTATGAGCTCCACCTAGGGACGAGCCGACGAGAACTTGTTGTGGGAAAACGATAACATAGATTTTAATTCTGAAAATCAAGATTAAGATATTACAATTTGTATTTTAAAAATCTAAATTTACAAAAAAATTACCGAAAAATTTAACAAATTACAGTACATTAACTTACAGTACATTAACACCCCCCTCCCCCTAACAATTTTTGGGGAAAAAAGATTAATTAGCGACTGAAATGTTTTATGTTTGATCAGTAATACCCCCACGCCAATCTTGATCCATCCGTCACTGGGTCTGGGTCCCACCAGACGTTGCTCATTCGTCGTCCTTTTCAAGACCCCAGCTGACGTCCCTGATTTATTATATGAATGGTGTTCAACACGTCCGAATTTATTTGTAAATTCGCGACGCATGTTGAACCCTAATCTAACCCCGACTCTAACCTCTAACACTAATCTGATCTTAAACTTCTTAATCTCTCCCTAATTTAACCCTAATGTAAACTAGATAGATAGATAGATAGATAGATAGATAGATAGATAGATAGATAGATAGATAGATAGATAGATAATGTATTTACAGATGCATATATTTACAGATGCATATATTTGCTTTAACCATCAATGTGATCGAACAGCGATTTTCGACCGAAAGGAAGAAAGGGATTTTCTCTTTTTAATTTCCTTAGGAATAGAATTCCAAAGGAATGATCCATCGTACATAAAACGTTTTTTAAATTATTAGTCCGCGGTTGCGGTAAACAAAGAGTACTTGAAACGTTTCGAAGATTATAGCTAGTCATCTCACTTTTATAAGTGAATAAGTTAGTGAGTGATTGAGGGCCCATGTTATTTAATAATTTATACATCATTTTTGCCTTGGCTTTCCTCCTTTCTACTTTAGGTGTCTTCCAGCCCAATGCTTGCAATGCTACAGAATGATCTGTGTCATTGCTCATATATTCATGATAATTGGAGCAGCTCTATTTTGGAGTTCTTGAAGTCGTTTTGATTGTGTTTCACCGAACACATCCCATACTTCACAGCAGTACGCCAGTACCTAATCGAAGTATGGGCGAACAATAGCATTACTTTACTTGACTTTTTTATAGGCTTTAACTAATAGAATATGTTAAGGTTTGTTGGTTTTTGGGGATGTAATCAATCTAATACATTTGAGGGCAAATAAGTATTATTATAGCTATAACATGTTCTGTCGTTCTTCTGATTGGATCTCTATATAGCTACTAGTAGGATATTTAACAATTTATATACTCACTGAGGGGAGGTGCATCAATTTTAGTATAATTGAATTATATAGTCTATATATATACACTGACCGCCTAAAACGGCTCATTGTCAAGTTTATGGTGGATTGTTAACTTGCTAAGAGAAATAAATACGCGTTCATGTCATGAAGAGACACGTAAATTATGTACATGTCAATGCGAACCTTTACTGTTTTAGTTTTCTTTCTGCAAAATTTGATTTAATTTCCAGGTTTTTTATCAATTTCCCAACAATGCCAAAAATCAAGGATGTTAAAATCCCTTTGATATATTTACAATAACGATGGATATTCAAAATTCTGTACAAAGAATTTCTCGGTACAAACCTGCTCGGATTACTTTCTCTGCTTCTTCCAATCCTGCATGTGTATTTGTACCCCAACCAGGATAAGTGACGGTCCTAATTTTTTTACTTGCTTGGTTGATAGGTGAGAAGTTAAAATCTAAGGTTGCCGAGTTGGAAAAGCTGACTCCAGCGTATCGGCAGTCATAGGAAAGCCCTGCTTTCTTGGCTTTCACCTTGCACATTTTCATCATTTGGGACATAGCTATTTTTCCTTGCTCAAACTCACACGAACCAATTGACCCAGATGCATCCATAACAATAACCGTATCTTCTTGTATTGGCGGCGATCTTTTTGCGAGTCTTAGTTGGTTGTCCGGTTGGTAGCGCACGAAATTGTCTAAAATCATCTGTGCAGTCTTTTGTGGAGAAGGGATGTTTTGCAATTCTACAAAATATAAGCAGTGGGTACTACAAGAAAATTTAATCTTATACTAGCATTTTGTTGCTTATTTAAAGTGAAACAGGGCACATGTGGTTAAGAGGGTCCTGAAGGGGGGTCCCAATCCCATTTCCCACCTGAAATTTTGGCAAAATCCCAGTCCCAGTTGGATTTTTATTAGAAATCCCAGTCCCAGTTATTGAAATCCCAGTCAATAAAAAACCCTTTATTTATCGGTAGAATAAACAGTTTTAAGACCTTTTAAGCAAGTGGCGGACACTTTATGAAATATGAGGGGAGGCACGTGCCGAAGGCACGAAAAATTTTTAAATTTGAATCCCGGAAATGGCATTTGCAGCATTCTGAGACACGCATAATCAGAAAACCCAGAATTCCGGGTGCCAGAGTATGCCTGTTCGCAGGTAGTGCTATGAATAATATAGTTAACAACAAAAATCATGACCAAAGACACCAAAAACGGATCAAAATTGTATTTTAAAATACTCAAAACGCAGAAAAATTGGGAATCGACTCGCATTACCTCAATCCCATTCCCATTTTTGAGGACTTCATTTCCCATTCCCAGTGGCCAAATCCAAGTCCCAGCAACCCAAATCCCATTTTCCCAGTCTAAAAATAGATCAATCCCAGTTCCCATTTTACCCCTTCAGGACCCTCTTATTTGCAGTATAGTGGATCAGACTGGGGATTTAGTTGCTATGTTTGTAGTATAGTGGATCAGGGGGGATTTAGTTGTTATATATAGGGTTAACCTCTCAACTTTCCATTAGGTCTATGTGTATGGCCTAAGAATAAATTTATGTAATGTAATATAGGAGGATTCCCTATATTTAAATGCTTCCCTTTTATTAGCCCCTCCACTATGAAACCGGAAATCAATAACTCCCTCTGTATAAAGTTCACTGCTTAGGGGCTTTGGTGGTACAATCATCAGAGCAAGCATTGTTCACCTCTGAGATTGTGAGTTTGATCCTCACATTGCAATAATGACACTTGTGTGAAAAGAGTTAGTCAACACTTTACCAAAAGTCTGGTTTCCTACCACAGGGAATGTTGACAGGGTTGGAATTAGCCCCCTAACTAACCCTTCCACCATAGCTGTGCACCGTGATCAGACATGGATCATAAGGTGGCTGCCAGAGTGTACTTAAGCCTAATTTCTATTTGGTTGTTAGTTGTCGCTGGCACGACAAGCGGTAGTTGTGAAGTAGTCTAATATAATAATAGTTTTGTATGTGTTATATGCAAATCAGTCTTAATATAATGATTGCAGAGTTTTGTAAAGTTTTGTTGACGCTCTATTACATCAGCCACTTGTCGTGCCAGCGACAACTTACGACCAAATGGAAACTAGGCTTTAGTGAGCCTTCGACTAGATCAGGTTGAGCTACGTCCTTCGCAATTCGGTTCAACCCTGAGCAGCCAGTATGCATGATTAGTACCTAGTACATGCAAGCAAGAACGGATTACATCCTAATTCCATTTCTAGTACACCCCCAATTACTTACTTGCTTACTTAACAGGTTATGAAATTAATGGATTATTGAAGGTTTTTGTAGATGAAATTTTGAGTGTGCATTTTATACATTTATTAGACCGAACCAGGAGCAGTTGCGAAAGAATGCAACTGTAGGCTCTCTGGTAGGAAGCAGACATGTGGCCAGTGAATGCCATTCCGGTGCAGCTCTCGGAGTAGCCTACGGTGTAGACCCCAGCAGAAGGGCCCCTTGCGAAAATAACTATATTATATTGCTATTTTAAAACTATTTTATTACTATCATCCCTATTTTTATGCTATTTTATTCAGAGGCAACCCTATTTTAATTCTATCATAATATTTAACTAAAAGAAAGAGCCATATTTTATTAATGTTTTATTTTATTTTATTCCTATTTTTATAGATAATAGAAATAAAATCGCATATTTTAATACTATATTCCAGAGCCTCAGGGAAAAAATAGGTTTAAAATAGCCTATTTAAATTCTATTTTACTTTACCAGAAAGCAGTTAGAAATTAAAATAGATATAAAATATACTATTTTTAAACTCATAAAATAAAATAGACTGTTTAAATCCTATTTTACATTGGAAGTTAAATGCACAAATTTCAAACAGGAATAAAATATACTATTTTAATCCTATCTTTCTTTCATAGTTAGCAAAATAACAATAAAATAGACTATTTTAAACATATTTTGCACGTGCAGAATATTACATAAATTAAAATAGATATAAAATATAGTATTTTAAAGCTATTTATTTTTCAGAATACGCAAAACAGAATAAAATAGACTGTTTTAAACCTATTGCACATTTTTAAAACTGCCACATTTTTCAAATAGGGATAAAATATACTATTTTAAACCTATTTACTTTCCCCAATTTGCAAAATATAATAAAATACACTATTTTAATCCTATTTTACATTTACCGGGATTCAGGATTACAATTTGCAGATATGTATAAAATAGTCTATTTAAATTAAAACATTCTGAATTTTCCTACTTAGCAAAATGAAATAAAATAGAACCGTATTTTATAGTTACACAGATAAGGGACCAATCATTAATAATGGAAGGGGGGGTGAGGGGCGGAGGGTGAGAAAAGGGGGAGGCTTCAACTGTTGCCTACACTGGTCATCCCATAGATATAGTCATCCCATGCGGTGCTTCCACTTGCAAGGACATTTCTTTGCAAAAAGAAATAAAATTTACTAGGAAACGGCAAGGAATTTTGATTTCAGCAAGGAAATAAGGATATTATGTTATTTCTAATAAATCCTAAGATTATAGCAATTCCCAAGCAAATTCGCATCAGGAAATGTCAAAAATCCAAATCCTACTCCTGGGGAATGGAAAATCTGAAAAATTTCTGAGACATGACCTCAAGCCTCCTGTTGCAGTTTTTTATAATTAATTTATAATTTATAATTGCAAGGGTCATGGTGTCTCTCACCCGAGAAATACACCGTCATTCAGGATAAATTATTGTAATATCAGTTTTAAACTAGGTAAAATTCATCTTCATCAAAGGAATTTTTGTCAAAAATAAGGAAATTTTGAGCAGTTGGGAAGGAAATTATTTTTTTGAAAGTGGAAGTGGAAGCACTGAATTTACACCCCGCCATTTTTTATAATCAGTTCGTGATTTCGAAGTTACAATATTTCGCTCGATATTTCGAGCCGATGAAGCCTTATCAACCGTGAATGAACGAAGATGAAAGATCAGGGATGATTGAGTAATATCCAGGTAAGAATCTTGTTATGTTTTATGTATAATAGAGCAATTTTGAAAGGAAATATTTGCTATCTTCATTCGTGAATTTTGAGAATGCACGTGTTTGATGATCTTTGATGTTTCGGCTTAAAATTTGAATTTGCCGAGCCGATGAAGCCTTAATAAGCGAAGATGAAACATCAGGGATGACAGAGTAATATCCAGCTAAGAATCTTGTTATGTTTTATGTATAATAGAGCAATTTTGAAAGGAAATATTTTCTACTTCAATCTTCATTCCTGAATTTTGAGAATGCACGTGCTTGATGTTTCGGCTTAAAATCTGAATTTGCCGCGACAATATTTAAAACGATGATATAAAACGTTAGTTTAATTCAAAGCTTACATTTGACTCCTGAAGTCTTTATATTAAATTATGTTTATTGTATTAACTAATGCCAAATAGTTAATAGTTGTGTATTGCCAGATTCCAGTGGCAGTGTTTCTTGTATCAAAATTAATATATTATAGCTTGGCATCTACTCAAGTTTCAATCCTCAATTCTTTATATGCTTATAAATACCTAGGCATATCCCAGCTAAATGTGCATGTCTCAGTTACATAATAGTCATAGAATAAAAGTTATTCTGAATAAGGAGTGCATTATATAGTAATTAACACACAATTTATGAAAACTGTATGTTTTGAATCAAATATGATTCACCTTCAGCAGTGTTTCACAAGATATGTCGTTATATTTGCAAGACATGCCGTTATATTATTTTCTACTTATATCTATCTAGTATATTTGCTGAAATTATCAGCCGGAAAAGGATGTCTCATGCACTTTACCATTACAGCACTTATATACCCTACTTTAATTTTTTTTTCACTCTCAGTCTAACACCAGGTGTTGGTTGCATCAAAGCTGGATTCTTTCAGTTCTGTTTGATTTTACCATGTCTAACATCTGAAGGTAATAGTACAATGTATTAGGACATAGGCGTACGGGGCCGCTAAATTCCGGGGGGGAGCGGTAGCTTTTTTTCCCAAAAAATTCCACATTGCCCAAAAAATTTCGGGATTCTGCCCGACTAGCACCAAAAATTTTTTTCCGGAAAAATTATTTTGGCGACCTCCCCCCCCCGTCGCCAAAAAAATTTCGGTCAGTGTACCATTTTAGGGGTCAAAAAAATTTTCC